GGTGTACGTAGCCCCGGCATTTTTAAGCCCGAAGGGCATGACTCGGTAACAGTAAACTCCATCCGGTGTCAGGAAGGCGGTCTTCTCCTCATCCGCCGGGTGCATAAATATTTGATGGTACCCTCTGAAGGCGTCCATGAAACTCAGTAGCGCCGACCCGGCCGTTTCGTCGACTAACTGGTCGATCCGAGGTAGGGGAAACGGGTCTTTCGGACAAGCCTTATTAAGGTCGGTGTAGTCCACGCACATTCGCCACGCCGGGGGCTTGGGCACGAGGACCACATTGGCCAACCATTCCGGGTACTTAACCTCGCGGATGTGCCCGGCCGCTAGTAGCGTGCCAACCTCCTTCTTCACGAATTCCCTCCGGTCGTTGGCTAGGTATCGTTTCTTCTGTACGACCGGTCGGTGCTCCGGATCTACGGCGAGTTTGTGGGATATGATTAATCGGTCGACGCCAGGCATGTCCTCTGGGCCCCAGGCGAAAACCGTCCGGTGCTCCCGGAGCACCTTTACAATTTCTTATTTCAATGTCTCGGAGAGGCCGACTCCAATTCGGACCCGTCGGTCTGGCCGTGTAGAGTCGATCTCGACTTCCTCCAACTCGACGGCAGGCTCTGGGCGAGGTAGTATCGTCTTCTTCGGGGGCCTCTCAGTGATCTCATGGATCCGCATCCCGCGTTTGCCCATCCCTCTGCATGCCTGCAGATAGCAGTCGCGGGCGACCTTCCGGTCACAGCGCACCGTACCTATTCCATTCGGTGTGCGGAATTTCAGGCAGAGATGCTCAATTGAGATCAAGGCTCCTAAATCCTCAAGACCCGGTCGGCCAAGTAATGCGTTATGCGAGCAGGCCAGGTCTACCACAATAAATTTCATGCTGAGTTTCTGTACGTCCGGGTACGTGCCAATCTCCACTAGGAGTGTGATCGACCCTTCTGCCTCCACCGAGTCCCCTGTGAAGCCGGCGAGGGGGGTTTTGACGGGGTTCAGCTGTTCTCGAGTCAACCCCATTTTGGTGAAGGTTTCTTGATATAGCACGTTGACGCTGCTTCCGGTGTCCACCAGGATTCGCCGAACGACGATGCCGTTGACGTCCATAGCTATAACCAAAGCATCTCGATGCGGTATTTCTCCGGCTGGTAAGTCTCTGTCGGTGAACACGATGGGCTCTCGACACACCTTTTTGGAGTTCTCCTCACGCCCGTACACTGTCCCGACGTACAACTGCCGAGCCCAAGCTTTTCTGGTGTTCGCTAAATCACCACCTTCCGGCCCGCCAACTATCATGTTGATAACCGGTTTTTGGCGCCACTGAGCCTCCTCCTCTTCAGAAACCGGCTGTTTGCCTCGACCGCTTTCGGCAACTGTGACGGGTTCCTCATCCCCTCGACTGCCCGGCCTTCGCCTCCACTGGTTAGGAGGCGGGGTTCCTTGCTGGATGATGCCCTCCATGATCTTCTTCAGGTAGAAGCACTCCTCCGTACTGTGGGTATAAGATTTATGATAACGACAATACTTAGCGTTCTTACCCATTTCTTCGTTTGTCGCGTGATCGTCGGTCGGCGGAGGCGGAGGCGGGGCAACCGCTTGTACCTCGTGGACCGGACGCTCGGGAATCGGCCGATAGGCGTGGACCACTGGTCGGTCGTGCGGCCGTCTAACTTCGGGTCGCCGCGCCATGTCCGGGCGCCTTTCTTTGGCTTCCGCTCGCGTTCTCTTTCCGCTGGCAGATCCGCCGACTTCACGCTATCGCTTGTACTTCATAGCCTGCTCCGTATTGGCCCTCTTGTTGGCCATATGAATGGCTTCTGCGTAGGTGGCCGGCCGATTGTCCCTCAAGTCTCGGTACAGCTGGCCGGACCGCAGCGACTCAATGAAGAAGGTGAGCGCCGTCTGGTCCTCGACCTCTTCTATGGACCGGATTTCTTTCTGCCAGCGGGCCAGATAGGTTTTCAGAGATTCGCCTTCGTCTTGACGGATGTCACCCAAGTGAGTTAGGTCCTTTTGTGGCTTAATATTAGCGGCGTAATGGCTCATGAAGCGGTCTGCCAACTCTTCGAAGTTGTGAATTGACCCTGAGGGCTGCGCCACCAGCCACCTTTGTGCTGACCCCTTCAACGTGGGTAAGAAAGCACGACACATGACCGGGTCTCGCACCCCTAAAAACCTGCATCTTGGCCTGATAGCTCAGCAAATGCTCGTGGGGATCGCCGGTTCCATCGAACGTGGCTTGTTCCGGGAACTTGAAATCACTCGGTATCTTAAAAGCCATAACCTCGTCTGAGAAAGGTAAGGCGGTCAGCAACGTACGTCCTGGGGATTTGGCTTTTCCCTCCATCCGTTCTCTCAGATTTCGCACCTCCTGTACTAGGTTAGCCACTTCGACCCTCTCCCGGGTGCGATTTCCCGTGGATTCCGTGCTTTCGCCGACTTCAGACTTAGCCAGTTGATCGGGGTTGCGGGGAGGTTGCTCCACGCGACGAGTCTCGGTCCTGGCTCTTTTGGTTCGGCTCTTCTCTCGTGCAGCCTGTCCGTTGCGGGCGGCTAACGGGGCACGACTGGGCTCCTTCTGGCCCAATCGTTCCCTTGCCGGCCGACGCCCAACGCTGGGACCTAGTCGGGAATGAACAGATTGTGCCGGTTGGCTTTCAGCCCGTCAGCTCAATTGTCGGCTGTCGGGCCTCTGAGGCGGTTGCAACTCGCGTTGCGGCTGGCGAGTGATGGACTGTTCTCTCACTCCTAGGCTCGCTTCGGCGCAAGCGCGCCCGATTGCACGTAACTGCTCCGGGGTGAGCAGCACCTGAGGTAATTGTGGGTTTATCTGCGGCGTCGGCGGCGGTGTCGTCTCGTTTTCTTGGCTCCGAGCATTCCTCCTATTCAGCTGGCTTCTCAAGTCGGCCTCTCGTCCGTTGTCGTGACGGCTCGACTGTTCTTCGCTTCCTGCCATGTCTGGAGTCTTTCTGATTCAACTATTGTTCCTCGGACTCGCCTCACTCAAGAGGACACGTGACTCTTCGTTTCGATCCCCACGGACGGCGCCAGTGATGGTTTTAGGGTTTTCGGGCCCAAGGAGGTCCAACACAACCTTTGGTCGGAGGATACACCTCTCAATAATATTTATGTCTAACTCGGAGATAATAACAGTGCTCAGAAAACTCTTTGTTATTTTCCACTCCTCTGGGTGTCCGAAAATGTCTGCCTTTTACAAAAATGGAGGAGCCTTTATATAGTGGCTCCTCCTCTGCCGACTTGAAGGCCCTTAATGGCCGACTTCAAGGCTAATCAAGGTGTGGAGCCGTTGGATGCCATTACTCGGTCAACCAACGGCTCTCCTGGGCTTGTAACAGCCCGACCGGGTCTTATCTTTAATGCTTCAACGGCTCTCTTTTAAAGGAACTCCTTTAATGCCCTCAACGGCTCCTCGAGCCGGGTCCTTTCCTGGGCTTGGGCCTCGGCCGACTCCTGGACTTGACCTTACCACTCTTTAGGCTCCTCTCGATGCTGGCCTACTTCTATTTTCTTTGGGCCCCTATCTCTTGGGCCGGGGTCCTTACCCCATCAACATGCTTTTAATTTGAAGGGAACACAATAAATTAACGAATAATGAAATTTAATCTTCAACTTCTATGTCTGGATGAAAGTTAAAAGAATGTGTGCCATCTAAATGTAAAACTAAAAATTTATTATTATTTTATATATTGAAGAATGCGTTTTGTGTCTAATTATAAAAAAGTTTAAATTTATACTTTTTAATAAAAGTATATATTTATTATTTCATATATATTTATACTTAATGGAGATGGATCAAGTAATTAAGAATTAAACTTTAGCTAAGAACTACAAATTAATGTTAGCTGTTGATTTGGGACAATCAGCGACAGTAACGTAAGGAAAAGAAACATGCTGATCTGACATTTTGCCATTTTAATTTGCTAAGTATTTCAAACTTAAAGTGTAATGGTATAAAAGAGTTTTACACACTTTTGATCTCATGACTATAGTGGTACTATTTGAATTGATTCACAACTTTTAAACTTTACAATCTTGGTTCATGACTATTGGCTTTTTTTTTTTTTTGTTTTTTTTGTTTTTTGTTTTTTTTGTTTTTTGCAAAAAGGTCATTCCGGCTCATTTTTCGTCAATTTATCACCGGATTAAGAACCATTTCCGCCAAAAGCGGGCCGAAAAATTAACGATAAATGGGCCTGAAGGACAATTTTTACAAAAAACAATAGTCATAAACCGAAATTGCAAGGTTTAAAAGTCGTAGATCAATCCTGATAGTGCCACTATATATATAGTCGTGGGACCAAAAATGCGAAAAACTTTGGTGTAAAATTATAAGTACATTTGCTGATATGTAATGGTGAAGCGTGTAAAGAATGCAAAGCTAGCTTGACTTTCTCATTGATAGTAAAGAAGTATAAAAACTAGAGTTAATACCCAAAATGGTTCCTCGATTATAGCTAAATTCACAAATTGGTCATCGACTTTTAATTTCAACCAATTAAGTCCTTAACTTTGCAATTTTAACACAATTTGATCCTTTGTCTAGTTAATACCCAAGCGAAGTAGGCAAGCTGAACCGGCTCGGGATCCCCAAGCAGCAAGCGGAGAAGCACTTTCCCCCTCCGAAACGGCGCTGTCATCTCCAAGAGCATTCTCTAAGCTGAACCGGCTCGTGATCCCCAAGCAGCAAGCGGAGAAGCACTCCCCCCTCCGAAATAACGATGTCACCTCCAAGAGCGTTCTCTTGAGCTTTGCATGTGAAACTACATATATATCCTCAAAGATCGCGGTCAACAAACGGTCAAATAGATGGAGGACCAAATCATGTCAAAATTACAAAGCTAAAGACTTAATTGGTTGAAATTGAAAGTTGAAGACCAATTTGTGAATTTAGCTATAGTCGAGGGACCATTTTGGGTATTTACTCTAAAAACTACAAACAGTTGCAACAAACACATAAAAGTAGTAGAAACAAAATACTAAGCAGCCTAATCTACATGAAATAAACCAGAAACAAAGACTAAACAACCCAATTCAAACTATCTGCTTAATAAAATGCACCTTTACATATCAACATATGGAATTGCAATTTTGCACTATTACATATAATTAAATGTATTTTGTAGTATTACTCGTTGCTCGTTTGCATTTCTTACAGAAAGCATATAAAGTGCACTAGAATAAGCTCATGTACTCAATAGCCACAAGTTATATATCAATTTCATTAGCAACCGAACAATAGAACTTTATCACGGTCACAATATTATTGAATCCAACTAATACTCCATACAATATTAATCAAGTTAATTGACGTTAAATTCTTTTGAAATTTTTCTTTTACCAAGAATATATAACTTTGTTGTAGATAATGTTGTAATGATATTAAATAATTGGGAAAATGCAGGGCAGTTTTAGTCAACCAATTATAACCATATTGTATACTCAGTTTGTGAATTATTATCATAGCAGTGGTTCTACCACAATTGAATTTTTAATTTTCCATTTGCAACAAGACATCACAAAAAATAAGCATATTAGATACCAAGACATCACAAAAAACAAGCATATTAGATCATTAATAAATATATAAAAAAAATGTTACGAAATAGTTTGTTCTCATAAAGAAATTTTAATATGAAAAACTTATATGAATATACACATTATAATTAACAAATCAATGTATTTTCTTTGAGCATCCATTTTGCTTAAATGCTCTTCAAGAATCTATATAAGAAACAAAAACATTACAAATAATATATATTGGTCATATATTACACTAATATATAAATATGAAACCAAGCGTATAAATATCACCTTGATTATTTAGAAAGATAAATTCATTTTCTAACCAGTAAATTGACATTTAACTTTGAAATTAAGAATAAGTAGATACATGTTTATAAATCTTAGAAAACTAGCAATTCTTCATTACAAATGAAAAGAATCGATATATATGAAGGTTTAGTTGGGGGAATTTGAGAAAATCCTATGAAATGACTAATATGTCTTTTAATAATTTGAGAATTTGAAGTGCAATGTTAATTTTTTAGCTACACTCCAATGATAAAAAAAAATGTGTCTGTGAAACTCAATGATTAATTAATTATTTAATACAAAATGATAAATAAAAAATGACTAAGATATCTCTCAATAATTTAAAATTTTAAAATGCATTATTATTATTATTATTATTATTATTATTATTATTATTATTATTATTATTATTATTATTATTATTATTATTATTATTATTATTTGGTGAATAAGGAGGAGCTAAACGCTCCAGAAATTTAAGAGATCCTTCTAGTGGCCACAGAATGGCTATCACGAGCAGGAGATTGTTTAAGCCATCCGGTGGTTGCGGCCAAACCGTAGTCCCCCAAGTAGTGTTCTGGCCCAGGTTGGCCAGAAAATCTGCGCATTGGTTTCCTTCTCGTAGGACATGGATGAGCTGGCAAGCTTGGAAGCTCGTCATCAGGTTCTTACAGCCAAGGATTAAGGTATCGGCTTCCGGACTAGACCCCGAGCAGTTAAGGATGGCTTGCACTAGCGCTTCCGAATCAGATTCTGCCACGATCTTATTGAAACCTCTGCTTTTTGCAAGGCGTAGCCCCTCGCGCATTGCCCAGAGTTCAGCAATAAAGCTGTTGGTCGGGCCTATTTTAGTAGAGAACCCAGTGATCCATCTACCATGCCAATCTCGAATGAGCTCCATCCGTGTTAATTTTAAGCCAGTCTTGCGAAGGAGGTGTCTAGTGAATCCATTTGTGCGTGCCCCCTCCCATATCCGCAAGTCTGAAAAGGTACCTCCTGGCTTCCTCGGCTCCAGCTTTTGCCCGTCTGATAATATCTGTTGCCCCGACATCTTTGGTGTTGAAGATAAACTCATTTCTGGCGATCTAAAGGCTAGGTTCCAGAGGACGTGTGGGAAGAGACCGTTCCAGGGTATGCCTAACGTGTTTCCCTCCTGCCCAACACAATTAAGCCGCACCCAAGTCTGCAGAGGTGTGATGGCTGATGGATCGAAGGAGGCTGGTGCTCCAGCAATGTTCCAGCAATCCACCGCTTTGTCACAGCGACGGAAAACGTGGTCCAAGGATTCGCTGACATCAACACACCTCGGACAATTGCCATCTATTGCCAGACCGCGTCTCTGTCTTTCCTCGTTGATTAGGAGCCCATTGTTCATCATTTTCCACAGGAACATCTTGATCTTCTCCTTACACTTTAGGGTCCACACCCACCCAAGGTTGGTGGGTTCGTCATGGTAACCTGCAATCAAAGCATGAGCCGAATTAACAGTAAAGGAACCCGTACCTGAGTGAGGCCAAGTTATGGCATCGTCCTGCGTTGCGGCGTAACTAAGCGGGACTGCTCGAATGGCCTCGACGATTCCTGCCGACAGTAACGTTTGGATAGCGTTAATATCCCAGGTATTCTCTCTCGTGATCATGCACCCTACAGTTGTCGCATGGGCGTCCAGAGGGATAGTAACGTTAGGTAAGGAGCTGATTGGTCCCGAGCCCATCCAGTGATCATGCCAGAAGTTAAGAGAGTTGCCATTCCCCACCTTCCACCTGATACCACTTCGAAGAGACTTGGCGCCCTTAATGATGCTTTTCCACGGCCAAGAGGAGTTTGTGGTTGCTGTAGCGTTAAGGAAGCTGGAATCTTTAACGTATTTTTCTTTAAGGACTTTGACCCACAGTTTATTCTGATTGGTTGTTACTTGCCAAGCCATTTTGGAAAGGAAAGCCATATTGCAATTTTTGGCTTGACGAAGTCCAAGACCACCACATTCCCGAGGCATGCAAACGTTGTCCGAGCTGACTGTGTGAATTTTCCTAGTGTCTTTCGAATGACCCCACAAGAAGTTCCTGCAAATTTTATCTATGGAATTGCAAGTACTTACCGGCAGTCGCATGTATTGCATCGCATAGGTTGGGGTCGTAGCAAGGGACGTCTGGACTAAGACCCTTCGGCCAGCCATGCTAAGGGCACTGGCTTTCCAGGTAGCCAACTTCTTCCTCATTTTATCAATGACACTAAAGAAAGTGTTATGGGAAACACGCTTGTGAAGTAAGGGAATCCCGAGGTAGGTCCCTAAGTTTAGATATATAGGAATCCCCATTTTCTCGCCAATTTTTCTCTTCAACTCTGCATTGGTATTATTAGAACAGAAGATCTGGGATTTAGACTGATTTACCTTAAGACCGGAGGTTGCCGAAAGATTGTTGAGACACTCCATCATAATCTTGGCTTGACACTCCGTGGCTTCACCGAAGAGCATCAGATCATCTGCAAAAAAGAGATGAGAAATACCGATACCACCTCGAGAGACATTGACGGGTTTCCATTGTCCAGAGTTAACCGCTTGTTGAATGTCAAACGCCAGCCTCTCCTTGACAAGATTGAAAAGATAGGGAGCCAAAGGATCGCCTTGCCAGAGGCCACGACCCGGGGCGAACGAAGGGAGACGTCCCCCATTCCATAAGATGGAAATGTCACTATTCTCCAGCGAGAAAAGGATGAGCTGCACCAGGCTAGTAGGGAACCCAAACTCAATTAGGGTGTCCTTCAAGAAAGACCAGCTAACACTGTCGTAGGCTTTATGGCGATCTATTTTAACCACCATCAAGCCCTTACGACCTTTCTTCATGTTCATCGTATGAATCACTTCCTGTGTAAGAATGATGTTATCCATAGTGGAGCGGCCCGGGAGGAAGCTGTTTTGATATGGACCAATAATACGGCACATAATTGGCCTCGGCCTATTGACAAGGACTTTGGAGATGATCTTGAAAGCCACATTTAGGAGAGTAATGGGGCGAAAGTCTGCAGCGGTTTCCGGAACCTCCTTCTTGGGTATGAGCGTGATGAAAGCCTAGATGAGGGATAAAGGGACGGTTCCACTGAAGATTTCCTAATTGACCATGATAGTAACTGGTGACCCAATATGCTCCCAAAACTTTTGATAGAAGGCCGTCGGAATACCATCTGGGCCGGGACTTCCAAACTTCTTCATACCAAAGACAGCTTTTCTAACTTCTTCACTAGAAGCAACTTTTAATAAGGATCTTGCTTCGATTGGGGAGATTTTTTGGGTACCTGTGACCGGAACCATCGTGACCCTGCTGTCCGTAGCTACTTCTTCAAAGAGATTGGAGAAGAAAGAGGTAATGTGGTCAGCCAAAAGAAGAGGATCATTTGACCAATTGCCTTGAATCTTGAGGAACCTAATCCTGTTTTTATTTCTTCGAATCATCGCTGAATTGTGGTAGAAACGGGTGTTTCTGTCTCCATCCCTAGTCCAGTCCATTCTAGACTTTTTGTGCCAAAAAGTCTCTTCCTGGTCCAGGAGAAGACTGAACTCAGTAGTGAGCTTTTTATTTAGCGCCTGTAAATTCCCGGAGATCATAAATTTAGGATGTTGTTGAATGCCCCAAATTCTCGCCTCCATCTGTCTTTTGTTCTTGAAAATATTTCCAAAAACATCCTTATTCCACTGTTTGCTCTGCGTGATCAGGTCTGAGATGATGGCATCAATGTTACGGTCCTCCAACATACTAGCAGCCTTCCAAATCAATTCATAGTCATTTCTGGATAGCCAAGCCGCTTCAAACCGGAAAGGGCAGAGTTCCCGATTTGGCGGATCCCCCGCCGAGTCTTTAAACATTAAGGGATTGTGATCCGAATGCAACCTCGGGAGGGTCACAACTTTTGCCTCTGGGAAGGATAATTGGGCAGTCATATTCCAGAGAACCCTATCCAGGAGACGAAGCTGAGTGACTCTATTCCCCACATAACGGCACCAGGTGAATTTGTTTCCCGACACCCCCGGGTCGAAGAGCCCGCACATAGAAACTGCATCACTAAATTTTTGCAGACTGAAATTATTGATTACATCACTACCCCACTGTTCAGCAGAAGTAGCAATGTCATTAAGGTCGCCCAGAAGAATCTAAGCGCCTTGAATCATGTTGGAAAAACGTTTACAATCTTCCCAAAATCTATTCTTCGCCAATAAATTAGGCCTGACATAAGCAAAAGTAACAAAACAATCATCCGATCTATTGACAATCTTCGCATGAATAGCCTGAGAAGAATGACTAATAATGTCAAGATTAATATGCCCCTGTTTCCAAAGCAGAAGCAACCCACCTGCAAAACCAATAGGCTTGACCAAAAAATGGTTAGAAAAACCAAGTTTGCTGGCCATGTTAACCATGCCATCAATCTTGGTTGAGCGAATCTCTAGGAGGCAAAGGGCATCAGCTTCCGATGTAATAAGAAGCTCTTTGACGTGATTCTTAACACGTCTGTTAGCCACCCCTCTACAGTTACAAGAGATTAAAATCATTGACACATCGCGGCGGTGGGGGAAGTTTGAGTACCGCCTTCCCCAGGCGTGAAACTTAGATTGTGAAAGTCCCCAGCCAAAGTTGCAGTAGACAAGAAACCATCTGCCAAAGCAGTCTAATCACCAAAACAAAACGGGGCGTCTGCGTTACCATGGCCGATCGAAGTGGCCGAAGCGGACAGAGCCACATGGTCAGCCATCATGCTGCCACGATTCCCAAAACCTCGACCATTCCCTCGAAAAGCCACCCTAGTACCACCACGGCCCCTATAATTGGCATAGCCTGAAGACCGGGGGACTGTTGTATTAGGAGTGGACGACTGGGGTTTAAGGAGGAAGATTGAGGCGGTGGGGGTCGCAACAGATCCGGGGGGCGACTAGCAGGGTTAGGGAGCAAACCTGGCATGTTTCCAAACTCAGAAGCATCTGGAACCGGTGGAGGAGGAGCCTGAGCGCTAACAGTGGCTTGATCATCAAGGTTCGCCAACGACGAAAACTTGTTGCCTCTTTGTCGATTGGCGCCATTCTGGTTTTTTGTGGGCGATTGTTTTTCTTGGCTGCATGGTCTGAGTTCTTCCTGGTCACGATCACCCGGGGCCTATAGCGGGGTTTAGCAGCCACAAAAGCTGGATGTGTTGTGGATCTTGGCGACGAAATAGACTTATCGGTGGCAGGTTGATGTTGGTTTGGCACGGCTAAGGATTGTTGATTCGCCGGAAGATCTTGTTGGTGGCTAGCATTAGTGATCGGATTAGGAGTGGTGTCGGAAGGTGTCTGCTGATTATCTCCCTCATTCTTAGCCATGGGAGTTTCATTAAGATCCACGGTGCAGCCAGTGTGGGCCTTACCTGCGTTTTGTGGACAAGAGTGATCTCTGTGGCCTATTGTTCCACAAGTAAAGCAAACCACACGCAAGCTTTCATACTCCACAATTTGAATTTGGTCTTCAACCCAAACTTCATTAACCAGGGGGTGTTGATATCAATTTCCACTGCCGCTCTCGCGTAACGACCTTTGACAACCCCCATCGTCGTCCGATCTAACTTTAAAGGCTTCCCAACCCCTTCCAGGACGCCTTTTATTATATCATCTCTGAAGTATTCAACTACCAACCGTGGAAGCCTTACCCAAACCGCCATCTTCGATATCTTTGCGGTGGCGGGGTCAAACTTAGGTTCCCAACGCTGGGTAATAAGGTAGTTGTCGAAGATTTTCCAAGGTCCATCAAGGAGTACGTGTAGGTACTCCGTAGGGTTTGTAAATCTCGCCACGAAGCAACCATAGCCGATATCAATCAGTTCCACCCAATTCTTGATTCCCCACAGGAGAGGAAGTCTATGTTGTAAGACATTGAAGTTGACAGTTTTCCCGAGATATTTGACGATAAGAGCCATCTTCCACCTTTGACAGAGTTCTTTGCGAACCTCCATAGGGATTCTAACCTTTGGTCTGCAATCATCAGGAGCATTGAAATTCTCATCCACATCCGGATCAATCACAAGGTCGGAAAAAGCCTATTCCGTAGCGTTCGTGGCTGTTTGCGTTCCACCTTCGAACAGTGGTTCCGATGCCGCAGCCGCAGCAAAAGTTCTCTTGGTCCTCTTGTTTGTATGCGACACTGGTTCAGAGCTATCCATCACATCGTCCGGAGGAAGCTCGTAGGCCTCAGCCGGGGCTTCCATGCTTTCCGACGACAGCGTCGCCGTGAACGGCTTGTCAGAACTACCAAAAATAGTCGAAAACACCAAAGGAAGGTTACCTTTGGTAGAGAGCGTTTAAACTGAAAATGCAATATTAATATTAACATAATTTGTTAGTTGTGGATCGGAATGATTATCACTTTACACATAATTAAAGGGAAAATTTATATATAGTAATTAATAATTAATAGACTGAGTCTACAATATATGCATAATTAATAGACTAAGAACGTCATTTTCCCTAAATAGTTTTAACATAATATTTGCGACATCTAAATTATTGTCCAAAAATATCTAAGGGTTGGCTAGGTTGTCTAGCTAAAAGGTGACCAAGTTGGATTTTTCTTGGCTTCATATGTTGTTGTTTTCCCTGGTTTGGTAGGCAATAAGTTGCGATGGAGCTTTCGGACCATGCATGCATACTACGTGTAGGCTGTAGCTAGTCCCAACCTCCCAGCTAAGATTGCATGGGACTCATTGCAATCTTGTTTTTATAATACTTTTTAATTTATTTAACACCAATGATGTTTTAATTGAGTTAGTAATAAATAAATTTTTTAAAAAAAAACCTCTCATAAGTCATAATTATTATGATTTGATATGTCTAATAATATCAAATTTAGAGAAATCTTAATTTGATCAAATTTTCAAAATGCATGAGGAGAAATAGTGATTTTAGTATTTTAATTATGTTTGTATTATAGATTAAGTCATTACATTCTTATTATTATTATATTTACTTTTTCTCCTTTTGTGTAAAGTGACGATTTTAATTATATTAATCAAATATAGTCCATCACATTTAACATGAAATGTTATATTACAGAAATTGTCAAAGTTAACTGAGTAATTGAGTTAATACCTAAAATGGTCATTGACTATAATGGTTTTTTTCAATTTTGTCCTAAATAACTTTGGTGACACAATATAGTCTCAGACTTTTGTGTTTTTCTCGATGTAGTCCTCTGTTTGTTATTCTGTCAAATTGGTATTAAATAGAGGGACAATTAAGTAATTTCAATATTGTCATCATCTCTTTTCTCTCAGACCTACGAAGTGAGAATTCCATTTTTCTTATACGAATTACTCCCATAATTGCAATATACACACAATACATACATATGGAGAAATTTCGTTATCACCTAAGCACGCCTATATATATATATATATATATATATATATATATATATATATATATAATATATATATATATATATATATATATATTAGTCCGGTTCAGGTGAGAACCATTGCTTGAGTGTGAACCTGTGAACTTCAATGCACCGTTGAGATGTGAGATTGGACAACTAAGATCTGAGGAGTGGTGCAATGCTGCATTCGGTGCAGTTGTGTAGTGGTGCAGTGATGCATGTGGTGCAATGATGTATATTTATCAGGTCAAAATCATTATAAATCACAAATTAAAGATCGAGCAAGATCAAGGTGCATAATGGTACACAAGTTCTCATGTTAATAGTGGTTCTCATTTGTACCTAATTATATATATATATATATATATATATATATATATATATATATATATATATATATATATATATATATATATATAGGGAAGGGTATTTATAATGATTTTGACCTGATAAATATACATCATTGCACCACATGCATCACTGCACCACTACACAACTGCACCGGATGCAGCATTGCACCACTCCTCAGATCTTAGTTGTCCAATCTCACATCTCAACGGTGCATTGAAGTTCACAGGTTCACACTCAAGCAATGGTTCTCACCTGAACCGGACTAATATATATATATATATATATATATATATATATATATATATATATATATATATATATATATATATATATATATATATATATATATATATAGGGACGCACTCAGGTGCGAATAAGTGCCCAGGAAGGAAATGCGAACGAATCAGCGCGCAACACGTGTCCATATCTAATAACTTAAAAAAAACGCGGTGGCATTTTCGTAAATAATTGAACATCGAAGTGCAAGTAAAATCTCTTATAAGTGCACCTATTTTCACCTATTAGTGCATGTAATTTTGCCTTGTTAGCATTCACTTTCCGCAACCATTCATGCACCTGGGTGTGCTTATAACTATCTGTGCAACTATTTATAACTATAGGTGCAACTACTTATAACTATATGTGCACCTACTTTCACTTATAAGTGCATGTAATTTTGCCTTGTTAACATTCATTGATCTGAGTTCGCGGGTAGTAATACTCCTGAAAACCACTCGCAAACATTCATACACCTAGATGCAACTACTTATACCTATGTGTGCAACTACTTAGAACTATTGGTGCAACTACTTAGAACTATAAGTGCAACTATGTATTGATGCTCAGTGTAAATTTTTACTTGCACCTATAATACATTTTACATGCAGTTGTAATACATTTTACTTGCACCTCGATGTTCAATTATTTACGAAAATGCCACCGCGTTTTTTTAAAAATCAGTGTTTCTCATCCATTAGATCTGGACACGTGGACGAACAGAATCCATTCCTATTTCGCGCCTGGGCGAGCCGTTCGCACCCGAGTGCAAGTATATATATATATATATATATATATATATATATATATATATATATATATATATATATATATATATATATATATATATATATATATATATATATATATATATATAGGGAAGGGTTAAGGTGCGGGTATAGCTTCTCGTGCGGTTGTGCGGTTAAATCTGAGCAGTTGATCAAATTTAGATCAACAGCTCAAATCAATGAAAATTAAAAAAAAAAAAAAAACACGTGCCTGGAACAAAGAAGTATAAGCTAAGGTGCACCTTAAGTGTTAGATTTTAATCACAAACTCACGCACTTTAAGTATAAAACCCCCACACATTAAGCACAACCTCACGCACATTAAACACAAAATCCACGCACTTTAAATATTAACTCACAGACTTTAAGTTTCAATAACTATTGACATTAAGTACAAAACTCACGCACATTAAGTACAAATCTCACGCACATTAAACACAAACATCACGCACATTAAGAACAAAACTCACGCACTTTAAGTATTCACTCACAGACTTTAAATTTTAACAACTATTCACGATAAGCACATCCCCACGCACATTAAGCACAAACCTCACGCACATTAAGCACAAAACTCACGCACATTAATCACAAAACTCAAATCTTTTATATATATATATATATATATATATATATATATATATATATATATATATAAAAGATTTGAAACAAATCACTGGTGAAACATGTAGTGGAGACAGGTGAATCTCTTGAACGCACTAAGTGGAATTATTATAGTACCTCGTATGCCTGTGATGGGGAGACACATGAATATTGCTTTGGAGTAGCATTCGACCCGCCCACACCATCATTTTTTCGTCTTTTACCACACTTACATTGTTGCTGCCCATCTTGAATTCATTTTTTTTTTTGAAGCAGCCAATCTTGAATTCTTGATTGCCGTAAATCAAGTTAAATCTCATTATAGGCAAAACGTATCAAATATATCATCCGATCCTTTGCTGGTTGATGAAGGAAATGGTGTGGATGGGAAATTCCCTTGCTTCATAAAAAAAAACACGCGCGCGCGCGCGCGCACACACACACACACACACACACACATATATATATATATATATATATATATATATATATATATATATATATATATATATATATATATATATATATATAAGGCAACCTAAGGCAATCTTCTTCGAAGGAGGTGACCTGTGATCGTTCATTGGTTACGGGGCGTCGATTTTCTTTCGGAAGTTGTCGAAACATCACCGAAACCTTAGCGACTTATTATTATAAGTTACTACTCAATTTTTGAGTTTTGATACACTAAATTAACATGTTGATGTTATTAATTGCATTAATTAAAAGTTTTACAACTTAATAAATTTCTCAAACAAAGTTCAGAGTGTATTTGACTCTCTTTTTCAAATGAAAAAGACAAAAATTTAAACATAAAAATAGTAAATAAATAAATAAATAAATAAATAAATAAGCAAGCAAAACATTATTAAACGCATTGACTCTAAACAAGGCGTTATTGGCCAATGGGAAGCGTTGTCATTAAGTGAATGATTTGC